TCGCGTCGTTGGTTTAATTCCGCCACGTCTCTTACCTCAGCCAAAGTAGCGACGCGCATCTGGCCAGCGTTCGTATTTCGTTGGCACCTTCTTATGAAATTAAGGCGCTCTTCTTCAATTCTGCAATACATGTCTACTAACCATGTCTCGGATAATTTATTAAAAGCAGTAAAGCGTTCGTCCGATAGTAGCAGACATCTTATATATCTTAATTGGCTGAGCTTACCTCCTCGTTTATCATATTTACCGAATCCCCATCCGGTCTCCCCGTGCGGGTAGAGTAGTGGGTACTGCATCGGTTCCATTAACGGATGAAAAACGTTCAGAATTCTTTGTTTTTCACCTTTACCAACTTTCCAGATGACGATTGACCTAGGATCGTATGCTTCTTCGGTCGTGTTTATTACGGCTGCAACCTCAGTCGACTGTGGCTGTTCACCCAAAACGGGACCGGCTTGTCTCCGCGTTTTGCATTCGAACACCAGATGGGCTTGGTCGCTGGGCTCCAACGATAATCGTCTGTAATGTTTGACAAATGGATTATTAATACTATCGAGATATCTGCTAATTTGGTCAATAATCTCTTTTTTTAAATAATCAAATTTGCTTGCCTCCATACGTCTTGCATCGCCATCGTCGATGTACATATAACTTTGATTGGCATAAGACGTACCTTTTAAATTCAAATCGTGTACCTTGTGGTATGTCCTACCCTGGATTTTCATGAAACCCAAACCTGTCTTATGTTTCCATTTGGTAACCATCGCACAGAAAGCGAACAGGTCGTTGTAGTGGCGAGGATGGGCCAAAAACAAGGGATTCTTGTAGAACGCAGCATCTAGCGGTTGTAACCGCTGAACGTTGTAAAGATTTTGACCGCAACACCACTTTTTACGATCTAGTTCTTCGTGAAACAGGGGCGCCCCGCAATGTGGACATTTAGAGCAATTGTCTCGATCTAAAAGAGAAGAATTCTTTAAAGCAAATTGACTAATTTTTGCATATTCTTGGTTAGTCTTAAATTCGCCAATAAACAAGTCGCAACGACGGCGCAAAGAGTCCGGAAGGTGTTTTCCCTGCTGGGTCGTTCTGTATCGCTTCATCGCTTGTTGATAAACTTCTGGATTACATGCCTGATACCGTTTTTCAGTTTCTCTGCGAACATCAGAATTCGATTTAATATACTTATTCTCGGCTTTTTGATGAATTTCTGGATGTTCCACTTGATAGTGCGTAGCAGCTTCCAATAAGATTGCTGCATTTTTTTCTCTATATATTTTATAGGTAAGTTTACGACGCTCCTCAAATGGAACATCTGAGGCTTTACGTCCTCTTTTGACTTTATTACGTTCAAACGTTATATCGCTAATGTTACTTATCTTGCCTAATGCAGCTGGGCAACTCTCAGTTGTAGACACCACAGACATTACATCGTCCTGGGGTGGTGGTAGAATATCATCAGCATATGTTGAGGTTGTTTTAATCTCATCATCAACCCTAGGAACAATAATATTTGAATGAATGATAATTTTGGGTTTTTTAGAAGGGGGCGTAGATACTGAGGTCTTAGGTTTGGGACCTCGTTTAACTTTTTTAGGACGCCCCACTTTTCTAGTAGACGTCAAACTTGTCGGCTCTACATTAGCAGTAACGGAACTTTTTGAAACAATACTTACATTGGCCAAGTTTGTTTGTTTACTTTCCGATACAGTTACCTCATTATTTTCCCTATCTCCAACGTTGTTTGATCGAATTTCGAAACTAATTCGATGGATGTTGTACTGCCTCCTATTACCGTCGTACGCAGAATTGATCAGAAGCAGATGAGCTAAACTATCAGTATCTGCGCAGGTAAACAGTCTTGCTTTATTATTTTCTTCGCACATGTCGTATTGCCCCATTCGTTGACGGCATGCGAATCGAATAAATACATAAGCGCTCCGTTTTCTCTCCAAAAACTGACAGTCCGACTTTGACCTGTATACAAACAAAAATTTCATTAATTTCCAATCAAAAAATAGTTCGATAACATTATTTTAACATCTACTTTAATAAAGTAACCAAATATTTACCCGTAAATAAATATCCACAGGTCACACTGTCAGTTTGAAATCGTTCCTGAAGAATATTACGCAGTATCGTTTTCATCGCTGGCAATTCAGTTAGGCAAGATGGGAAATGACCGGCATTACCTGCCTCCATTTCGGTTATTGCCACGAGTTGTCCCAAAACGTTTAATTCTCTTGGCAATTCCTCCGGTTCGAGAAATGGAGGCCTTTCCTGTAATTTGAAAGTATTATAATTATATTGTTCCATTAAAATTATTCAAAAAATAAAAATCAATATATGTTGTGTGTACTCCTACCAAATATATACAATGGGACTTCAGGAATTCAAAATTCGGTAATAATCTTCAAACTAACATGTACCCCGCTAAGAAAAGGTTGGATCCAATGGGTTTATTGGAGATTACAATTTAGGATTTAAAAGTCCCATCTATCTTTGGTAGGAGTATAATAATAATAATCAGCATTAAAGTCGGAACTACGTACCGGGACAATATTTTTGTAAATTTGAAATCCGTTCATTAAAATTTGATCAATGGTTTGACCAAAGAACGGAATCCTCAGATGCCTGTAGGCTACGGCTAGGCTAGCATTCGGGACGCAGCTAGCGTTGTTGGTCTCCGGCAGAGCTTCTCTGTCGCCTTGGTGGAAGCTTCCTACCGAAATACACGAATAATTCATGCTAAATAAAGAAAAAACAAATTAACAACAAATTATTAAACAATTAATGTTAATCACAAAGTCGCGTCAATAATTTTCATGCGAAATGGCACCGAAAATCAATTGAATTAAAAATAACCAAGTTGTCAACGACTTTCAATTTTTTCCATAGATTGCATAGAAAACCATCCAAAATGTCGTTTGACTCCCCTTTTTATATTGAAATAGAATAGAGAAAGGGTGACCCACCCCCTTACAACCCCCTTTATTATTACAACGTTTAATTTCAAAGTTATTTCAATCTTCTTTTTTAATTTAAATTAGTCGTTGACAGTAATGACAGCAGACATAAGTGACAAGTGACATTGTCATTGTAGATTGTAGACAAATTCTCGAGAAATATTTGAAATTGATTTCTATGGATATACCATAGAGAAAGAAAGATGAGAGAGTTCGATCTCTTACTAAAAATTGGAAACGCGTCGATGGTGCTGCTGCTAGTATGGTGTCCCACGAACTAATGAAATATCGAGTAGATTTCTTCTATATTTCAAAATTAAAAATGGGTGGTATACTCAAATTTTATTTTTATAATTTAATATTACATACTGCAAATTATAAAATAAGAACAACTTTTAATTATTAGAAATGTATTTATTGAAAGATATAAAAAATTAGTATACATACATATAACCTAAATAAATGAATTACAATACAACATTTGAACATAATTCGACAAAATTAATAACATAGACGATAACAAAAATATAATACAATAACTAGAAACGTAAAACAAATACAACCTTGTTACTTGTTCGAAGTAAGATGAGTCAGATCCATCAGCTCCCAGGTCCTACAGCTTACAATTCTTGTAGAGCTAACTAAAACATAAAAAATATGAGCAGCATCTAATTCAGGAAAATAACAAAAACAGTTAAATGTATCAGAAAAATGATCTTCTCTTCACAGAGTCTCATTTGTTTGGTTGAATGGGACAAACCTATAATATAACCTATAATATCCTATAAATATAAATCCTATATCAAACCATTTGTTATTTTTTGTTTCGCTCAAAGAATTTAAAAAAATGCTTTTGAAGAATATTCCTTCGAACCTTCCTTCGAATTGGCGTCGACATTTTAAATTTGTAAACATATAAATATATAAAAAGTAAAAATACTCACCATTTAGGTTAAGCACTATAATGGCGTCTGCATCACTCACGAAACTCTCTTTAAACGAAAAACGACCGACTGAAGCGTGAAGCGGCTGGACCAGCTGGACCCGCGATCGCGATCATTTCCACGCGGGTCTCGTGTAAAATTAATTAACGAATCAAAACAATGGAAATGCATTTCATTTTTCGATTGTAGCGCCTCTGGTCGCGTGTCTCAGAAGTAATCGCGTTATTGGCTGGGTCCTATGCTTTAAACAGTCTCTTTTATTTTGTCTATGGGATATACATTGCAGTAACAATCATTTACTTTTATCTATTTACAAAGGAAAAAAGTTTGGAGAACAAAGAAGACAATAAAAGTATTAAACAATGGTTTATTTTCACAATTAACAACTAAAATTCACTTCAGTTTTAGGATAACAAGTTTACATTATATCAGCAAACATTTATTAATAGCATCAGAAAGCCAAACAGCGGCTTATAAAACATGTCGGCATTCGTTATTAATTAAATTAATAAATCAAAAACCTCTTTGTAACAATCCAAATGGAGGAAGAGCTGTACGATCGAAGGAGACAAAGGCAGAAAAAATCCAAAACATTGTCCAAATCATTACTTGGTGGATTCATTCCCGATTCCGTTTATCATTTACTGCATTTATATCCATTTTCTCCCATGGTAATTCAGTATAAATCCTGCAAAATAAGGAAATTATAAGTGAATGAAAAATCTAACCCTACTTTTCATTTCTACAGATAACAAAAATTCATTCATTACTACGTTATTTTCTAATAGATTTTTATGATCATTGTTTCAAATGAATGTATTCGAATGATATTTTGTCTTATTGACGTATTATTAGTAATTACATACCTTTTTAGCATAATATTTCATCGTTCGAAGGTTCTCCGTTCGAAATACTGGGTTGTTCGGTTAATGTTGAAAATGGCAGAAAAAATCCATAATATGCCTCCAATTGTTGTTGGCGGTTTATTCCAAGCTACTAGTTGTCCTTTGCTTCTTATTATCCCGTGCCAATCCTGCAAAATAAGGAAATTTTAAGTAAAAGAAAAATCCAACAGTACTCCTTTTTCTACGGGTAACTTAAATCCTTACCATTTCATTTTGTATGCCGAGCAGTCTGGAAAAACCAAGAAAACGGTCGAATGTCCCATAAAACACACCAAATTATCCAAATTTACGGCAATAACATTCCTCTTGCGTTCTACCGCTCTCTCGGAAGACTTGAAACGGCATCAGATCCCTGAAAAATGTAAAAAAAATGGTTAGAAATAGGTTCTTTCACATAGAAAATTCAATTCTTACCTTTTTAGTATTAATTTTCTAGGCCGAGCAGTCTGGAAAAGCCAACAAAACGGTCGAATGTCCCATAAAACACACCAAATTATCCAAATTTACGGCAATAACATTCCTCTTGCGTTCTACCGCTCTCTCGGAAGACTTGAAACGGCATCAGATCCCTGAAAAATTTAGAAAAATGGTCAGAAATAGGTTCTTTCTCATAGAAAATTTAATCCTTACCTTTTTAGTATTTATTTTGTAGGCCGAGCAGTCTGGAAAAGCCAACAAAACGGTCGAATGTACCACGAAACACACCAAAATATCCAAATTTACGGCAAATACATTCCCCCTGCATTCTAATCCTCTCTGGGAAGGCTTATATAAGCTTCAATATACCTACAAATAAAGAAAAATCATTAAAAAAAGGTTCTCAAAAAATGGCGGTCGATCGTTCCTGTAATACCATAAAAAACAGACATTTAATAAAAAGCAATATTTATACAACAAAAAAACGTTGTAATCGGAGTATTGTTTGATTTAAATTGATTTACTTACCTAATTATCACTGAAAATCGCACAAAAAACTGAAAAATCGACACAAAAATCGCTTCAAAAATTCTTGAGTAAAATGTCGCCGAAAACCAATTAAATTGTCAATAACAACGGGATTCAATTATTTTTATCGAATGTATATTACGAATAAAGGCAAGTACCAATATCAAAAATATCAATACAAAAATTAGGAATGACACTTGACATGACATTTGACGTACACGTTTTTTTAAATTATTTTTATAAAGAACAGGGCTGCGCCTCCTTACAACCACCCTTCTCTTTATGTTTCTTTTTTAGTAAGGGGGCTGCGCCTCCTTACAACCACCCTTCTCTTTATGTTTCTTTTTTAGTAAGGGGGCTGCGCCCCCTTACACCCCCCCTTTCTCTTTACGTTCTTTTTTTAGTAAGGGGGCTGCGCCCCCTTACAACCCCCCTTTCTCTTTACATTCTTTTTAGTAAGGGGGCTGCGCCCCCTTACATCCCCCCTTTCTCTTTACGTTCTTTTTTAGTAAGGGGGCTGCGCCCCCTTACATCCCCCCTTTCTCTTTACGTTCTTTTTTTAGTAAGGGGGCTGCGCCCCCTTACAACCCCCCTTTCTCTTTACATTCTTTTTAGTAAGGGGGCTGCGCCCCCTTAAAACCCCCCTTTCTCTTTATGTTTTTTTTTGTAAGGGGGCTGCGCCCCTTTACGACCCCCCTTACATAGCGGCTCGAAGGCCTGCGGCCTTCTTCGCCGCATGACACTCACCTGTCCGGATCCTCGCTCGCTGCGCTCGCTCGGTGCGATTGGAATTTCGTTTGGAAATCAAAAACATTCCGTATATCAATTTTTTATGATAAAATCGCCCCGTACATCAAATTTTCATTTTTTCTTAACGAAAAAACACCCTGTACATCAAAAGTCCCGTCGACGTCTCCTTAGAAACGTCAGTGACATTTTCAGTCAATGTGAGGTTGGTTCTTTGTCGCTGTCATTAGTGTACACTTTTCGAAATTAATTTAAACATTTCTCGGTTATTCGTCAATAAAATGAGCAGAAAATTGGGAGGTTAGTAAATTATTGTATATTCTTTCTGTTTTAACCGTTGAAAGCGGCTAAAAGGTTCGAATTAAGAAAAAATCTTGCACCGCGATAAAGTTCCGTTCAAACTAAACGAACGCAAATCGTCCATCAAATAATTTTTTGGAAAATGTGTCAAAATTTTCAACTTTAAATCGATATTGTGAACGAAAACGAATTTAGCTGGGAAAAAGAGGTCGATTTTCGAAAAGAGCGCATTCGTTTACGTCCCCCCAACTACCTCTCTACGCCCAAGTAATTCATTTTGAATTTCTGTCGCCAATCATCGTTAACGCCTAGGGTTTTATATATATAGCGAGGCATAATAAAAATAAACTGCTGCCAATCTAAATTTTCCCTTTAAGGGATTGCAAATAGAATTCGTAGAAATTCATTAAAAATTTTTGGTCATTAACAAAATAGTAGCACCTCCTCCTTTGATTGGGTCTTAGTTGACTTGATTGGGAGCGAATTTGGATTTGGTATAAATATGGGGTAGGTGGCATTAAAACATCATTTTAAGTTGATTTGGATGTGAGTAAACGTGAATTAGTATTTTTTGTGAATAAGTAAATCAACTAACTTAATAATGGAACCAGTAGTTCTTAGCAAAAGAGGGAACGAGTAGTTTTTTTATAATGGATATTTGTACGTATTCGACAAAAACAGTAAAAGGGATAATACTATAAAATTTTGGCGAAGGAGGTGAGGAAATGGGTCGCTGCAAAGGAAGAATTCATACGAAAGATGGAGATGTGATCAAACAAATCAACAATCACTCTCATCCTTCGTCGGCAGCAGCCATAGAAGTAGCAACTTTTGTTACCCAAATAAAACGTCGTGCAGGAGAAAATATGGAGTGTACGAGTGAAGTCATAAATCAGTGAATCAAATAATCAAATAAATGCTGCACACGCTGATCCCGTGGACCTAAACGATTTAGTTTTGCCAAATGCATACAAGATATACGCATATCAACCAGGAAGAGAGGAGACTTTTTTGTTAAGCGATGATGGAGAAGAAGCAAACAGAATTTTAATATTTGGAAGAGAAATCTGGTTGCAGAATTTTCATAATTCCGAAACATGGTATGCGCATGGTACCTTCGCAATAGCACCAAGGCTATTTTCTCAAGTATATATCCTAATGGCAAGAAAACATGGAGGGGTGCATCCTATATTTTATGCACTATTGCCTAATAAGCAGCGTATTACATACACTCGTATGTTCGAACAGATAAAAACGCTACTGCCAAATTTAAGTCCGACATCTATTATTTGTGATTATGAATACGCCGCTTTTAGTGCTATGAAAGATTGTTTTCCGGATGTACACGTAAAAGGTTGCTTCTTCCATTTATCACAAAATATGAGGAAGCATCTTGCTGAGATTGGTCTTATTCGTCAATACAACAATGATGCTGAATTTGCATTACGAGCTAAAATGATTATTGCTTTAGCTTTTGTGGCTATTGCTGCTGTTGCTATTACTGACCTACGCTTCAACGGCTTGGGGTTACACCTGTAACACCAATCTATTGAGAATCGAACGATTAGAGCATCAATACTTCCGTATCGCGACCAATGCCCCTTGGTACGTCGCAAACCGCTACTTGCTCAGAGATACCGAATCCACTAAGGGTAGGGTAGGGTAGGGTAGGGTAGGTTAGGGTAGGAAGAAAGAGGAAAAGGACCGCGCGGAAGAACAATGCAGATAGGAGAAAATCCTCTCGAATGGTTGACGTAAATCTGAAATGGTAGTCCCGACCATCGAGAGTGAAGCGGGCGAGGTGGTTTTAGTGGGTATACAAGGCTTGCACACCCCGCCTTGGAGTCCTCACACTACCAGGGAAGGGAAGAACCTGTACCTGGTGTGCATAAAGCATTTCCACCCGTCAAAAAAAAAAAAAAAAAAAAAAAAAAAAAAAAAAAAAAAAAAAAAAAAAAAAAAAAAAAGGGTAGGGTAGGTTTGCATAAAGCATTTCCACCTGTCAAAAAAAAAAAAGGGTAGGGTAGGGTAGGGTAGGGAGGGGACCAAATGGCCGGGTTTTGGGTCTGGGCTGACCCAGTGGGTCTCAGTAGGTGCGGTAGGGTGCCCATACTTACCGTACAATAAAACGCTGAGCCCGCAGTCCTGTGTGGACGAACCGGCAAATCCTATCTCCACCTCCTCGTGGTGGTCCCTGGTAATGCGCGGCGTGCTGTGGAAGTACGTCTCGTAGCCAACGGAGAAGGGTGGCAGGCGAGTCTCTGGCGCCTAAACTGGAGCACATGGGCCGGGGAAGGAAAACCCTGTAATAAAAAATAACCCGAAGGAGTAAACCTGCGAAAAAAAATCCCCCCAATCCTAAGGTGTAGCACCATCGCGCCGATGGGATGCATGGCTCAGGGGGTATGGTGAGTCTCGAGCGATGCCCGAAGGATCAGGCCGCCCGGAGGGGATAGCAGGCCTTAGCGCGGTACGGGCGCACTGCCGCGCCGGACCACTAATTCGGCCCAACTCGTGGGATAAGGATGAGCGATTTTAAAAACAAAAAAAAGGAAGTAGGAGTAGGAGGGGACAGTAAGGAAATAGTAGAGGACAAGACAGCTTTTGTAAGAGGAGGAAAAGTGAAACGTACTCCGCCTGGCAGAACACAAGAGGAGAGAAGGAGAAGACTGGCGGGAAGTAGTGAAAGCGATGTAAGCATCGATGATGGAAAGGATCCTTCCTGGCAAAATAGAAGGGATAGTGCTTCATCTACATCGGAAAAATCTGAGGAGGAAACAGTAGATATAGGAATGGTATTCAACGCAAATGAGGATGAGGAAGCGGATGTAACAGTAGTGGAATGGAGAGAAGGGCAAGCAGGACGTTCATCAAAAAGGAAGAAAAGAGAGGAAGAGTCGCCGCAAGCAGCTGATAAGAGGCCGATCAAGAGATTAGCGGGAGATACGACCCATATAATGCTTGAAAAAGTGTTGAAGGCGTCAAAAAGATTGAATGAGCTGGTGAATAAAAGCACAAACACGAAAACGGAAATCAAGGAGGCTATCACCGCCCTTAGGTACAACATAGATAGACTGGCTACAGACATAAATAAAAGGAAGGATGAGGAAAAATCGAAAAACAAGGACCAGGGAACACAAGTAGGAGATAGAAAGCCGGAAACGAGGGAAATCGGAATTCAGGTCAATAATATGGCAATGGACATTGAAAAGGAAATAGGTAATAACCAAAACTTCGAAGATGTTGATGCATTATTAAACCATGATTGGCCGGAGGATGTGTACGTACGTACAAAAGAGGTTGTCGACTACCCAATCAAACGGGATAAAGATAAGGATCTGGTATTACTAGTTGATCCAGGAGGGGGAGAAAAAGGTCTAGGAAAAATAATTATTGAGAGATGTCCAGAGGCCTGGGACCTAATTAACCCGGACCAAGAGGAAGTTAAGTACCTAAATAATATAACGAAGACTATTACAAGCGATGGAGTGTCTGAAGAGAAATCAAAATACATATTTGTGATACCTCATAACGTGCAGGAGGAACCGAATAATTTTGAGAAGATCTACAATAAAGTAGTACAGTTAAGGGATCAGATAATAAAAGAAAATAGACGTAAAGTGGTGTTTGCTGCGGCGGAGGGGATAAATAGGAGTGCTTGCAGGAGAATACTGGAGTGCGTCTTTAGAAAGACGAGTGTAGATCTGGAATGTAGGGTACCGAACGGGGCGCAGAGAGTGAGGCAGGATGGCGGCGGGGAAAGCCAGGGAAGCAGAAGTAGTGTCCTGACAATAAAAAAAGAGGGGCAAACGTATGCTGAACTATTAAAAACGATAAAAGATAAGGTCAACATTGAGAAAATGGGAATAAATATTAAGAAAATAAGGGAAAGTGGCACGGAGAACATACAACTTGTATTAAATGAGGGTAAGGAAAAAACCATGCACCTGGCGAAGGAGATAACAACACACTGCAAGGATGTGAACGTAATAACGAGGACTTTCGGAACGACACTATATGTGTTAGGAATGGAACGCACCACAACAGCAGAAGAAGTGACTAATGCCCTAAGTAAGACACTAGGAATTGACAGCGGAGAAATTGAAGTTAAGAATATAAGAGAAACCAAGAATAAAGAAAAAACGGCAGTGGTAATATTACCAAGACAGGCGGCAGCGAGGTTAATGAGATATGGCAAACTGAAAGTAGGATGGCTTAGTTGTAATGTTAAGGAGAGAATACCACTTACAAGATGCTACAGATGTCTTGAATACGGGCATAGGGAAAAAGAGTGCCAATCGCAGGAAAAGAAAATAGAAATATGTTTAAACTGTGCGCAGGAAGGCCATCGGGTGAGGGACTGCAAGAACACATCCTTTTGTGGTAAGTGCAAAGTTGAAGGGCACAGGTCTGACCAACTGACCTGTCCAGTGTTCAGAACAACACTAATAGAGGCAAGGGAAAGGCGGATGGTAAGGACAAGGGACAGCAGTGTGGCGAGTATAAGAAGCGTTGCTACGGATAAAACCGTAGATAACGCTAGAGTGTAGGATTAGAAAAGGGATAACCATGAACTCACCGTGAAGATCGTGCAAATCAACGTGGGAAGGGCAAGAGCAGCACATGATGTATCGTGTGCATTAGCTAGGCGAATTCAAGCGGATTTCATTTTCTACCAGGAACCTAACCTATCAATTTCTAAGAGTAAGGGCTTAATAACTGATTCTAACATAGACGTGGCAATACAAATAATAAATAGAAACATCGAGATTAAGGGACACAGGGCAAGGAATGGATATATAAAAATATGTTTAAAAGACAGCGTAATATTTAATTGCTATATCTCCCCAAATGTAACAATGGAAGAATTTAAACAGAAGGTTGACGATCTAATGCAAGACGCGAGAGGGGAGAGAAATTCGAATGTCATGATAATGGGTGACTTCAACTCCAAATCTTTTATATGGAATAACATCATGGAGGATCGAAGAGGGAAGTACATAGAGGAATGGATGGCAGAATTGGATCTAGCAGTGTTAAATGATAGAAGATGCCCAACATTTGTCAGAGGAAAGTCGGAATCAGTTATTGACATTACACTTGTCAACGAAAATATGTTAAAACGAGTAAGTAGCTGGCAGGTAGCCAAGGAAGAATCACTAAGTCTGCACCGATACATCATATGCGAATGGGGGGAGAAGGGTAAGGTAAAAGAGTTAATGGGATTATTAAATAAAATAACGGATAAAACTGCAACGGTGAGCACGCTACAACTGCTTAAAAATGGAATTAGAGGAAATCATGAAAAATTGATTAGAGTCATGAAAACGGCACAGGAAATCGGACAAGGGGTTGCTCTCCGGAGAAATACAAAACCATACTGGTGGAATGAGAAAGTAGAAGAAGCGAGAAACACGTGTATCAAAATAAGAAGACAGATTGTACGAAGCAGAAAGAAAGAATCCGCCACAGAGGAACAGGAAGAGAAAATGAACAGCCTGGAAAAAGAACATAAAGCAGCTAGAGTAGCATATCGAAAGGAAATAAATGCATCAAAGAAACAGTGCTGGAAAGATGTATGTGAGGAAGTGGATAAGGACGTCTGGGGTACCGGGTATCGCATAGTGATGAAAAAGTTTAACAAACAAGCAGGGCCGTACGAGTTAAGCCCAACGGAGAAAAGGGAAATAATAGACGGCTTGTTCCCAAAGTGTGACGACAAACTGGAACCACATAAGACAACAAGGAACTACGTTCAAATTACACAGGAGGAATTGACTCAGGCAGCAAGCAGACTAAAAACGGGCAAAGCTCCAGGTCCGGACCGGATAACGGCGGAAATGATAAAGATCGCAGCAGAAACAATACCAGATGAGATGCTAGAGGTGTATAACAACATCATACGTAAACAAAAAATTCCGAACAGCTGGAAAGAGAGTAAAGTAGTTCTTATCCCGAAAGGGAAGGAAGAGGATAAGAAATTTAGGCCAATCTGCTTGCTGGATGGGTTGGGAAAGGTGTTGGAACACATTATTAAGGCAAGAATGGAACAAAATGTCACCCTATCTCCAAGACAATATGGGTTTCAGAAAGGAAAGTCGACACTGGAGGCAATTGAGGATATCCTGGACATAGGGGACGCAAAATGGGCTGCAATAATCTGTGTGGATGTGAGGAACGCCTTTAATACGGCTCGATGGGGAATAATCTTGAGGCGGTTGCAAGAAAATCAGGTTCCAGGATACTTGATAAATCTTACGCGTAGCTATTGTGATCATAGAATAGTGTACGGCACCTTGCGGCACAAACAAACGGTGACGCAAGGTGTGCCGCAGGGGTCGGTACTGGGGCCATGGCTTTGGAACATATTGTATGACTCGGTTTTAGAAATGGAATTACCAGAAGGATGCAAGACGGTTGCATACGCGGACGACTTGAGTCTTGTAGTCACAGCGGGGAAAAAAACGGATCTGGTGAATAAGGCAAATCAAGCGCTGGAGAGAATAAAAGATTGGATGGAAGAAAACCATCTAGACATCGCACACCAAAAAACAGAGGCAGTACTCATTAGAGGCAGCCGGGGTAGGGAGGGTATAAGTTTTAAGATCGGGGACCACAGCTTTCAACCAGGAAGAGGTATAAAATGTCTAGGCATCTACATTGATGACCGACTGTCATTTAAGCTGCACCTGGAAAGAACGCAGGAAAAGGCACTTAGGACCTATTCGGCACTGTGTGGGTTGATGCCGAATATAAATGGACCCAGTAGCGAAAAGAGGGCCGTGTTGAGTTCTGTGTTTCACTCCATTATATTATATGGAGCCCCTATTTGGTGTGGAGCTATGGAGACGAAAAATATCGGAAAAGGCTACGAAGCCTACAGAGAAAAATGCTAATTAAGGTTACCAGTGCATATAGGACGATATCAGGGGAGGCCGTAAACGTGATAGCGGGAATACTGCCCATTGACCTAATGATCGAGGAGAGGGTAAATATTTACAATAGGAAAAAGATGGAACCAATAACCACACAAATCAGAAGAGAAGAGCGGGAGATATCAATAAGGAAATGGCAGGAGCGTTGGGAAGAGCTAACGGACGTCGGTCAAAAAACTAAGGAAATAATACCGGATATCAAAAAATGGTTATCATGTGGACATAGGAGAACGGGGTATTTCCTAACGCAAGTCCTGAGTGGTCATGGGTCCTTTCGAGAGTACACGTTCCGAATTGGCAAAGCTGCAGATGACAAATGCATATACTGTGGAAAAACGGACGACATTAAACATACACTCTTTGAATGTGGTAGATGGTCCAGAGAGAGGAATGAAATGATTGAGAACATAGGCACAACCATTAATATAAACAATATGATAGATATCATGAGTAGAGGACAAGAGGAGTGGGATATCGTGTATGGATACATAGTGGAGGTAATGAGACATAAGGAGAAGGAGGAGCGTGTTGAACAACAAAGGGGAGGTGACAGGTAGCATGCAAAGGTAAAATGAGGAAGGATAGCTCTAACTCACCTGAAGATATATCGGAAGATGGTTCCGGGTGAGCTAGATATGCTATGGAAGAACTGAGGTGGTTTTTGTGAGTATCAGGAGTCTCACACTACCGGGGAAGGGAAGAACCTGTACCCGGTGCGCATAAAGCGTTTCCACCTGTCAAAAAAAAAAAAAAAAAAAAAAAAAAAAAAAAAAAACCATCCGTTGTTGATGGAAACCCCAGCAACGGGTAATACCAACAGCGGACAGAGGTCGAAATCGAGGTGGTTTTAGTGGGTAAACAAGGCTTGCACACCCCGCCTTGGAGTCCTCACACTACCGGGGAAGGGAGGAACCTGTACCCGGTGTGCATAAAGCATTTCCACCCGGCAAAAAAAAAAAAAAAAAAGGGTAGGGTAGGGTAGGGTAGGGTAGGGTAGGGTAGGGTAGGGTAGGGTGTCTGGGCTGACCCAGTGGGTCTCAGTAGGTGCGGTAGGGTGCCCATACTTACCGTACAATAAAACGCTGAGCCCGCAGTCCTGTGTGGACGAACCGGCAAATCCTATCTCCACCTCCTCGTGGTGGTCCCTGGTAATCCGGGGCGTGCTGTGGGTGTACGTCTCGGAGCCAACGGAGAAGGGTGACCGGCGAATCTCTGGCGCCTAATCTGGAGCTCATGGGCTAAGGGAAGGAAAACCCTGAAAAAAAACCAAATTAACCGCGAATATGGAATCGAAAATAAATACAGAAGTACCCCAGGTGGGTAGGACAGATTGTCCGGAATCCCACCCTGTCACGACAGGCTGCTCCACGGATTCTGGGGGGAGCAAATTTTCGATGGAAATTGACGGAAATAAGAAAGAGGAGAGTCCTTTTAGACCAAGCAGGTTGTTAGCGAGATCCCCTGTAAGGAAGTGCAAGGAACAAGGGACAGGGACAGAAGGAGCCGGGGCTATAAAGGAATGCGAATTGTTTAAACGGGTGAGGTCGGCGTCTCTTACGAGCCTTAAAGGGCCAAAAAAAAGATGTAGGGAGATGGATGAGGCACAGGAATTCAAGGATAAGTTTGATAAGATCAACGAAACAGTCAACAGGCTTGAGGCTATATTGTCACAGACACCTAATACGAAAGCGGAAATGAGGGAGGCAATTAAGGTACTAGTAATGCAGGTGAAAGGATTGAATGGCTCCATTCCCGACTGGGAAGAATTAAGAAACACTAAGGAAAGGAAGCTACCTGAAAAAACTACGAGATCCATTGGAGTGCAGGCAGAGCTAACGGAAAGAATAGAGGAAATCGAGGAGGAAAAGAAGGAAGTGAATAATATGGTGAACAAAATATTTGAGGAGGAAGGCAACGATAAAGAGAGGCTACTTAATACGATAGACGTAACTTGGGATGAAAAAAGATTTCGGAAAACGAAGGTTAAAAAGGTAGACCAAGACAACATAAGCTTTAAGTCAGGATCGACGATAGCGATCATTATAGACCCGGAATATAAGAAGCGAGACCAAACGGATATAGGGTATAGCAATAAAATTCCTGGGTTGAATAAACTTATAGAAGAGGGCCTCACAATGGGTGAAATAGAGTACGTACAAACACAATTGGAGGTAACTAGTAAAAAGGAAACCGAAGTTACAAAAAGTAGGACTATTGCCTTACCCATAAGCATGGATAAATCGGGTTTTACGGATGCAGGTGCAGTGTACGATATGGGTATTAAATTGAGCGAAGAACCGATAATAGAGGGCGTAGAAGAAATATCTTTAATAGTGGCGGGAAAAATGGATATGAATTACGTAAGGAAGATAGTTGAATATATATTTAGATGGAAGAAGGTAGACATAGAAATAATCAAATATGAAAAGGGTGCCGGGCGAAGGGGTAGCCTAGCCAGAAGACCCAGTATAAAATTACCTGCAATAATGGGGGGACGAGAGCAAAGAGGAGAAGGAACAGGAACTGAGAAGATCATTGTTAAATCTGAAAAGGGTACTTACCTGGACGCGCTGAAAGCAATCAAACAAAAAGTTGATCCACGAGAACTAGGCGTTGATATTAAAGCTGTGCAGAAAACGGCTAAAGGGGATCTACTGCTGGAAGTCCGAGGAGATAGGGCGATCGCGGACCGGTTTAAAGAAGCTATAAAACAAAACGTTCAAAATAAAGTCGAGATGGTTAACCGAACTAAAACAATACATATATCGGATATTGACGGGGACGTTACAGGAGAACAGTTAGAATCGGCAATTAGACAGGTAGCAGGAACAGACTTTAAAAGGGATATAAGGATCGTTATGAAAGAAGGATATAAAGGGAGTCAAACGGCTTGGGTGACACTAGACAAGTTTTTAGCCAAAAGGTTAGTAGAAAGAGGAATGCTGGAACTGGAACAGGGCTGGGGAACATGCGTGGTGAGGGAAAGAATTAGTGTCTATCGTTGCTTTAAGTGCCAAGAGCTAGGACATCGCACTAACGAATGTAAGGGAGAGGAGAAAAAGCACGTGTGCTATAACTGCGGTGGCGATGACCACAAGGCCTCAGAGTGTAAAAATAGTAGTAAATGCACCACGTGCGATAAGGAAGGGCATAGAGCGGATAGTATGAGATGTCCGAGATACAGAAGTCTGGTGCACGAAAAACTTCAAGGGAGGGGGTATACCCCCACCTTGACAATATGAGGATCCTGCAAATAAATGTGGGTCGCTCCAGAGCGGCACACGACACCGCAGATGCGACGGCGGATAGGGACAAGGTGGATATAATTCTTTTCCAAGAACCAAATAAGAACATGGCAAAGAACAAAGTTTTTCTAATGGATGTAAAGGGAGACGTCGCGATAAATGTGAAGAACAAGGGGGTGGGTATCATAACGCACTACTGCGGTAATGGGTTTATTAGACTCGTTCTCGAAGATTGGAACATGTATAATTGTTACATATCGCCAAACGTAACGCTAGAGGATTTTAAGGAATACATAGACGCACTCATGACGGACGTTAGAAGGCAAAAGAAGAAGGTGATCATTGCTGGTGATTTTAATGCAAAATCGACGGAATGGGGAGCCAGGGCGAATGATGCAAGGGGAACATATTTGTCGGAATGGATGAACGCGTTAAATCTCACCATATTGAACAATGGGGAAGCTACTTTCGAGAGGGGATCCACAAGGTCTCATATAGACCTAACAATGATCTCCGCTACCGCGAGCAGAAAGATTAAGCATTGGGAAGTTATGAGAGCGGAGGAATCCTTAAGCCTTCACAAATACATCAGTTTCGAAATCGACATAAAAATCAAGAGGTTGGACTGGAGAATACACATCCCAATAGACAAGGAAGAATTTAGGCAGTGCTTGGCGTTTATAGGAAAGGAGAACTTAAGAAATCCAAGAAGACTAACGGAGGGATTAAAAATAGCACAGGACGCAGCAACGACTTGTCTCAAAAAGGGAAGGAGAACACAGCCGTATTGGTGGTGTGTTCAGATTGAGGAACTGAGGGGAAAATGTAATAAGGCAAGAAGGCAGCTGACGAGGGCGAGAGGAAGAAAACTCAGCGCAGAGGTACAGGATGAACTACATATAAAACACAGGGACTTAAAGAAACAATATAGGACAGCGATAGAGGTTTCGAAAAGAGAGCAGTGGAAGTCATTGTGCGGAGAACTGGAGGACGATATCTGGGGAACAGGATACAAGATCGTTATGAAGAAGTTGAGAAGCTTGTCATCACAATACCTGTTGCACAAAGAAGAAAAACACCGCGTAGTTACCGAATTGTTCCCAACGAAAACGGATGAGTGGAAAATGTGTGAGACGGATCATAATGTTCCTATCTTTACCCGAGATGAGCTGAGTAAAGCAGTCAGCAAAATCAAAAACGGAAAATCCCCCGGACCGGACTGTATTACGGTAGAAGCATTGAAGGAGGCGGTAAAAATAATACCAGACGAGATATTAAGTGTAATGAATAAGCAATTAACCCGACAAGAGTTTCCGGAGTGCTGGAAAATTGCCAACATAGTCCTGATCCCAAAACACGGTAGCCAACCAGATGTTCCGAAAGGGTATAGACCAATCTGCCTGCTGAGTGTCGTCGGAAAATTATTTGAACATCTGTTAAAGAATAGACTAGAGGAGGAATTAGAAGAGAAAGAGATTCTAGCGGAGAGACAGTTTGGATTCAGAAGAAAAAGGTCAACGATAGACGCTGTCAGATGGGTGGTAGATAAGGCGAGGGAAGGGAAAAAAAAATGGGCGGTTATAGTTTTATTAGATATTAAGAACGCGTTCAACACTGCAACGTGGAGTATAATCTTGAAGCGACTTAGAGAAGCAGGGATAAGCAAATATCTAATTAAAACTATAGAGAACTATTTTAAGAATAGGCAAATAGAGACCGGAACTGAAAATCTGAAGATGACGCAGGGAGTTCCACAGGGTTCGGTCCTGGGACCGACCCTATGGAATATCTTATACGACGGAGTATTGCGCCAAATGTTACCGGACGACTGTTATACAGTGGCATACGCGGACGACCTGGCCCTAATAACTAAAGCCGTTAGTAAGGAGATTCTCATCTATAACACCAACTTTGCCCTGAGAGAAATAAACGAATGGTTAACAAAAAACGATCTAAAGCTGGCTGCTGAGAAGACGGAGGCAATTATCGTAAGAGGCCAAAAGATAAGACTCGATGTTAAATTTCAAGTGGACGGTGTCTCGATATACCCAAAAAAAGAAGTCAAGTACTTGGGGATATGGATCGACGAGAAGCTGCGTTTTACGAACCATATTAGGAAAGCCATAGATAAAGGGGAGAAACTCGTTGGAGCTCTTAAGAAAATCATGCCTAGGACTCACGGAGCAGGAAGTGATCAGAGAAGGATGCTAAATGGGGTTTTGCAATCGGTAGTTTTGTACGGCGCCCCAATATGGACGGAAGCGCTAAGATTTAGCAGGTATAGAATGGCGATTAATACGGTGCAACGCAAGCTTCTAATTCATGTTACGAGTGCTTATGTAACAGCTTCAACGGAGGCTCTCTATGTGGTAGGGGGGGTGATTCCCATTGACCTGTTGGCAGACGAAAGAAGTAGAATGTGGCAAGGAAAAGATCAAGGAGAATCCATAAAAGGGATGGAGAGAGAAATAACTCTTGCAAAGTGGGCGGATAGATGGAGGCAAGAGGAGGACGTGGCAGGATGGACAAGAAAGCTGATAAGGGATTTGAGGAAATGGTATGAGTGCAGGCATAGGAGAACCAACTTCTACCTCACCCAGATGCTTACGGGACACGGTTGCTTTAGATCTTACGTTAAAAGAATAAAAAAAACCGACGACAGCACTTGCTTGTACTGCGACAAGGAGGACACGGCCGAACACACAATGTTTCATTGCGATCGATGGAGAGAGGAAAGGGGAAAAACAGAGAAAGGAGTCGGGGTGGAGCTGACAGCGGAGAATATGGTGGAGGTGATGATGAAGAATCCCAGTAACTGGAAGGCCATAGAGAAAATGGTAGAGACTGTTCTAAAAACAAAGGAAGTAGATGAAAGGACGATGATGGGATAAAAGGAGTGCCGAGGTCAACTGTAGTATGCCGCATGGTGAATCCAGTTGGTCTCCTCTGGCAGGTAAGGAAGACAGGTTTTTTTAGTGGGTATTGAAGCCTGAGTCCCACACTCCCCGGCCGCACAACAACAGGCCGGGCGTGCGTAAATGCATTTTTTCCTGTCTTAAAATAAAAAAAAAAAAAAAAAAAAAAAAAAAAAAAAAAAAAAAAAAAAAGGGTAGGGTAGGGTAGGGTAGGGTAGGGTAGGGTTTGTTAAGATGAACCTAGAAAAGCTCACGATTTATAATTGCTATATCTCACCTAACATATCTGTAGGAAACTTCGAAAGTGTACTGAATGACCTCATGCAAGATATAGCAACGCAGAGAAAATCAAACGTTGTGGTACTAGGTGATTTCAATGCGAAATCTCACCTTTGGAATCGCGAATCTGAAGATAAAAGGGGAAAAATCATAAGCGAATGGATTAATATGCTAAACATGATAGTGCTAAATGATTCCGTAAGTCCAACCTTCGTTAGGCGTAACTCAGCATCCATTATAGATATTACGTTTTGCTCGGAAAAAGTATCTCGTTTAGTTAACAAATGGCAAGTTCTCAGCGAAGAAAGTCTTAGCTTACATCGATTTATTTACGTGGAGTTTTCCAACAAACTAGGATCAAAAAAGAACAACGTGATGTTTCAACCTAAACACAATTTAGACAGGGAAACCGTTAAACATGCCCTAGAGATTATGAAGGAGAGGATCGGGAGGAAGCCAAGTAAGTTAATGGAAGCAATTCAAACGGCACAAAGGCTCGGACAACAAGACGACATTCAAAACATTAATCGACGTGTACCTTACTGGTGGAGCGAGAAAGTAAATAGAAAAAGAGTAACATGTAATACGCTTAGAAGAACATTGACTAGAGCTAGAAAGGGAATTAATACACCCAACGTTCACATTTTGGACCTAGAAGAAAAATATAAGCATGCAAGGAAGGAGTATAGGAAAGAAATTAACAAGGCAAAGAGGGACTGCTGGAGACAAAGATGCAAGGAAATTGATGAGGACGTTTGGGGACTAGGCTTCAAAATCGCGACAAGGGACCTAAAGAAACAACAAATTCCGTACGAGCTCTGCCCTCAGACCAAAAAAAGAATAGTAGAAGAACTGTTTCCGGATTGGCCCGAGACTCAATGGAAAAGCGTACGTCAAAAGGAATTCGACCAGTTCAGCAAGGAGGAACTACTCGCGGCATCTAGCAAACTGAAACTCAAGAAGGCCCCGGGACCAGACGGGGTTTCAGTTGAAACGGTGAAGATTGCGATAGAAATAATGCCAGAGGTAATCCTTCGAGTTTTTAATCATATTTTAAGCATGCAGACTATACCTAGCCAATGGAAGAAGGCTCAAGTGGTGTTAATACCTAAAGGGAATCCAGAAAACGAAAAATTCCGACCTATTTGTCTTCTGGACACTCTCGGAAAACTATTCGAGCACTTACTTAAAAATAGAATCGAAGAGATGATAAGTATCTCAAGAAACCAGTACGGCTTCCGTAAAGGAAAATCTACCGTAGAGGCAGTCGAGAGTATTATCAAGGCTAACCCAGGAATGTGGACGGCGGTAATCGGAATAGACATCAAGAACGCCTTCAATACGGCCAAATGGAATCT